GGGGGGGGGGGGGGTTAAAGTATTTTGCCAAAAGAAAACAAAGAAACTTTTGAAGTTACATCAAGGCTATTCAGATCCTAATGAATGAAACCACTCAGCAGAAAAATATCTGCTTCTTTAGTAGTGAAATATCACACAAAACCCTTCGACAGATTATAACTTTTCTTAAAATAGCACAAAGTTATACAGTTTATGGTGAAAGTGGAGGATTTCAAGACAGTTTTTCTTCTTTTCACCAATGCAACAAAGAGATCTGGAAAATCAGGTTGATTTTGACATGGAATACATGATTGGACATCATTCCAACTCCTCTCAAGAGATAAAGGGTTCACTCATCTTGAATCCATGAGACTAAAGGACTATTTGGGATATTCAGTGTTGAAGTCATTTAGCCTACACGTTGTACTTCTAAAGCCCAAAGGTGAGCCCTTGCAGCTGCTTGCTAGTTGCAAGCCTAAATACTCTTGGCTGGCAAATAGCAAAGTAATACCGTGACGGAAAGATGGAAAGAACCCCATTCAGAAGTGAAATAGAACGTGAACCCATAGGCGCTCAAGCAGCAAGAATGAGAAGTCTTCACGGTGCGGGTTAAGGCTGAACCGCACCGCGACCACACTACACTGCAAAGTTGCCTCCCAAGCTAGGGCTCTGACAACATTTCCAAGAGAGGTAATGAGAAGAATTCTAGAGTGGATAGCTACCTATGCCTAGATCACTGATAAATAAAATTTTATTGATAAGACCTTTTCAAGTGTAGCCAATACCATGACATAAAAATAAGTCTTAAAGCTACAGCTGCTAACTGAAAAGGCCATCAAAACTTTAGCTTATCAAAAAATTTAATATTTTATTGTTTGTATTAGTTGGCACTTCACATAAAAAAGGCAAGCGCTACGCTTCTCGCCTCAGTGAAGCGGGCCCTCATCGCTTTTTGTCGCCTCACACTATTCAAAAAAACTGGGTTTGACATTCGCTCTACAAACCCCGTCATTCTTTATGAAGTATGATCCTCATTAACCTCTATTATTTGTGCATTCACACAGCTTAGACTTATTCATATCTCATGTGAAGCAAATAAGCAATTTAGACATCATGCACGTGAGCATGTCAATTTTATTTATACGGAATTTTTTTTTAATAAGATAGGTAATATGTATAGGGAAATTTTAACTATATGTTCCAATTTTTCCATCATAGATAGTCACATGTGGCACAACCCAATTTCATGAATAGATCATGAAATGGGAGATCCAACTTATTTTACATGAAACTTTAATCTAATTTCACAAGTAGATCATGAATAACTTTAAAAGAAAAGGTACCGTCCAAATTGCAAAATGGAGCATGCACTAGTGAAGCAACCTCAAGTACTCGTGATTTAAAGAAAAAAAGATGAAACAATTAGGGACCAAACACGTGAAAATATTTCATAGGTAAAACATGTAAAAAATATTAGGGACCAAACACGTGAAAAAAAGGACAAAATACTAGGGACCAAACACGTGATAGCAACAAAGTGACGTGACCACTGAATTGTGTGAACTAACCCTTCTAAAGTTTAAGCTGTTAAAACCTTCTTTCTTTGGATCCCTCACGTCACGTGCATGTCTGATTATTTTCTTGGACCAAATACATGAATTTATTTTCGAACAGTGACAGCAAAAATTGAATCCAAGTTCTGATTTTTCTGATAGCATATTGAATTATGTGAACCACCTCATCTAAAAACCTAAGTAATTAGAGAGGGGGCATTGCAACAGTCATAAATAAGACACCTCAAACCTTCAAGTGTTAGAGTGGAACATCTAGGTCATTTAATTAGACCAAGTACTAAAATGAATGCATATTGGTCTAAAGTTATCCTTAACAGGAAGTTTGAGAATTATTTCCCAATGCCTACTATTTCCTAATTTTCATTTTATTTTTTGGCCTTATGACATGATAAATGTAACAAGAACTAGCTGAACCTCTATTTGCATCTCCACTATAATACCAATCAATCAAAATCATCCACTTATTTGGAGATTCAAAAGGATGTTTTTTATCTCGCAACTCACGCCTTAATCACGATGTCCTCAACCTTCATTACCGTAAAGCCCCGCAAGTTTTAAATGTTAATTGCGGCTAATTACGGGCCTAATGATGTAACTAAAGTGCCCCCGAGGTGTAAATAGATCCACAGGAAGGAACATGATAATCTATGTATGGTATGGTCTGAAAGTGGTTTGTAGTGATAAAAGAACAAGGAAAGATGAAAACTTGAAGTTGGAGACAAGAGCTGGCGTCTAGGCACTGACGCACTGTCGGGCTGGTCTCACGCCGCAAGAGAGAGTTTCCGGCCAAAAACAAGAGACCATACAATTTTTTCTTCAGTACATGAGACAATACAGTTATGGACAGAGTGAGCTTGTTGCGAGAAACTCACATAGACTGAGTCAAGGAGCTCGAGTCGAGGGATAGTGTCAGGAGGCCAAAATGTTGAGGCACTGCAATTTGGGGTAATGGCGCAATCATTGCACGGAAAGGACCTGGGCAGACCAACCATGCCTCACGATGGCCTCCCATCGCGAGAAGGCCCGATCCAGGCAGGGCACTAGTTCTGTGACGAGCGTGCGCCACGAGAAACTCAAGGGCTATAAATTATGTCAACAGTAATTATTTTGATAAGGATCAACAGTAATTATTCAGTTATTCCTCAAAACATTTGGCTGGAGATCCAGATCATATTGGAGCACTTCTTTTAAATTGCAATTAACATGATTGTAAGTCAGCAAAATAAGGGTTCCCAGGCTTCAACCATAGTAAAAACTGGGCATCAACTTGAGTATCAAAAATGTCTCCTCAAGTTAAGCAGTTTAGCTTTGAGCCACTTAGCTTAATAAGGAAGCTCAGCCTTGAAGGGATCCAACATGGCTTGGTTTGCACTACAGATATATAATTACTTTAAATTGGTATAATGTCCACACATGTAACAGAATCTTTAAGCTTATTTCCAAACTGGTTCGACTAAGGCAATCATATATTAAACTCAGTTTCAATATGTATAAATTCTTAAAATAAACTTATCTGACGAAGGGACCGCTGTAACGGAATATTATATATTCTATCATAGCATTGTGCTTACCGTGCTCCCGCCAATACCCAAGAAAGCCC